GAGGTGGTGCCCCACAGAGTCGGCAAGGGTCCCGATGGCGTCGTAGAGGATCAGCAGGTTCTTGTGCTGGTACTTGCCGAAGGCGAAAACCAGCGTGTCCAGGATGAAGCTGAGGTACGGCACTAGTTCGGTGCAGGCCTCCTCCTCCAGCGTGGCGAAGGCGCTGCGGGGAGGCAGGGGGGAAAGGGTCAGCGGCACCCCCCAGCCAGGGCTGAGCCCTCCACACACCCCCTCTCTGGGTCAGACAGTACGAATACGCCATCATCACTGCGACTCAACACATCGATTTCCTCATCCCGCCCAGAGAAATGCTGGGGTCCAGCAGATCCTGCCCCCCCAAAAACCACCACAGGCGGCCCCAAACGACCCCCCCCAGCCCCTCACCTGCACGCCGCCTCCTGCACCCGCTTGTTGCTGTCAAGGATGCGCTTGAGCAGCTCATTCATGAGGGGCTTGAGGTACATGTCGGGGGGCTGGCTGACCACCCAGTGGGCGTAGCGGCTCAGGGTCCAGCAGGCGATGGAGCGCACCAGCGCCTTCTTGTCCGACAGGCATTGGATGAGGTGGGGGATCAGCTCCGGCAGGTAGGGCACCATGCCCTGCATGCAGCCTGGGGGGGCGGCGGGGGCACAGGGAGGCTCAGAGACCCCCCGGCACCGGCATGGCGGTGGCTCGGGGACGGGCCTGTTGCAGGCACCGTGGCACCCACCTTCTGCGATGGCCCCCAGGACAAGGATGCCCGATTCCTTGATGACCCACTCGGGGTGGAAGAGGAGCTCCTTGAGCAGCGGGAGGAGGTGGGGGAGCAGCTCTTCCCGAAAAACGTTGGCCAGGACGTCCAGCGCGGCCGCCGAGCACTTCCCTGCCGGGCAGGCAAGAGGGGATGGGGTTTATCCCTCCTGAACCATCTCACCTCGGGGTTTAATCAACCCCCAGAACCCCCCCAGTGTTCACCCAGGGCTGTCTTCCCCTCCCCAAGCCCGTACTCAGGTTCCAGTCTGAGAGCGTGTCGTCGTCGTCCTCATCCTCTGCATCATCGGGGTCCTGTGGCCGCTCCTCCTCATGCTGCAGCGTCACCGTGCGGGACTTGTGGAAGCGGGGCTTGATGTCCTGCTCGCTGTCGGGAATGGCCTCGTCCTCCTCCACGTCACCCTTGCGGGGACAAGGAGACATCACGCTGTGCCACGGGGACCTGCAACCACCCGTCCCAGGGACCCCCCGGCCCCCATGGATCAGACAGTACGAACACAAC